GGCAGTGAAATTCTAATATGTTACCATTGAAGCATCTGTGATGGGTGGTGAGTAGAATGAGTCAGGAAGGGTCAGTCAGAGCCTTGCTTTGCAGCCAAGTAGATGGAGCTAAACAAATATTGCCCCTTATTTATTGTGTCTTTGGCAAGGTAGTTTTTAAAATCTTGAATAAATTATATAATAAGATCATAGTACTAAGGCAGGATAAATGTTAACTTTCTAACATTCCTTATATAACCCAAGTAAAATGTAGACTTTTTTCTATAAGCAATGGCTATTCATCAGAAATCTTTTTAAAGGTCACAGTTGTAACAGAGTAGACTATGAACTGCAACAGTAAGAGACTGAAGGCCGAAAGGCCACACCATGTCACACATGAAGAGGTTGAAAATAAGAGAATGAGATGAAGAGAAGGGGGTAGTTGCCAGAGGAGTTCGAATGCTGGCTAGAATAGTATCATGGTCTCGCATGATAAGAGTGAAGGAGAAATCAAATATAATCATAAGTTTTCTGGTTCCTGGTTTAACATAGCTTGTAGTTACACCATTAAAGAGAATAGATAGGATGAAGAGAAGCAAGCAGATCTATAGGGAAAATTCTGAAATACCTGTTAGGACTAAATTTGTGAAATGAATTACTTTTTCTACAGTTATCATCTTAATGAATTTTCTGTTCTCTTCTTTTCTGATAAATAGAAGCTATTCAATAGCAAACTGGAAAGTAACTTATCCACTAAATGTAATCTAACCCAAAGACATATGTGTGGATAGCTCCATGATGTTGTGTTGTGTTTTCATCTCACTGTTTTTTGCAGTTGTTAAAGCCGGCCTCATAGTCCCAGGCCTGTGGTTTCTACTCCTGGTGGGAATGCTCCTTGAAGACTGTCTGACATGAACCAATGTAGCTTGAAGAGAGGGAATTTGTCTTTACATCCTCCCCCCACCCACTCCACTCTGGTCACAGTAAGCGTACAACACATGTAATGGGACAAAATCATCCCACCATCTTTAAACGCAAACTTTAAAAAGAACCTCTTATTGCTAATTAAGCTAATTAATTTCCAGTTTGGTTGACTAGAGCACATTCAAGAGACTCTTAATGTTCACAAGGGCCCTGAGAAGCTCCACTTAAAGATTAAAATCCATTTTGACTCAAACGTAAAACACAAATTCTGGAGCAGGAGGCTGATCTAACCTTGCAGCTGATTCGAGTCAGTGGACTATAACTAATGAAGAAGGTGTGCTTTCCGGAGGCCTGGACCAGGCTGGTTGCGGGCGGAACTAGCAGCCACCTGGTCCAAGGGAGCAGAGCTAGTGGAGAGTGAAGAAACATTTTCTTCCCTGAGGTCTAACCAACACATGCCGTGCTAATCACATTTTGCTAGCGCCCAGCTAATCCAGGCTTTTTCCTCTGTCATCATTCTTTCAATTAGAGCGTCCTGGTGAGGTTTTCCATTGCGGACCCGACTCCAGACAGTTCATTCGCAGGACGTGGCGAGGAGAAAGCAGGTGAGCGGCTCTCATTAGCATCAGCAGCAGTTGTGTGTCCTGCCGGGAATACCCACAGCAAATGACTGGGAACACAGGGGAAAAGGACAGAGGAAGACAGAATGCTAAAAGCCTCTGAGGTGGTTCGTGCAAAAGATAATAAAGAGAGAACAGTTCCCTACCTGAGAGCAACTGCCTCAGGAGCCACTGCCAGGTCCCTGCGCTGTGGCATTACAAGTGCTCCCTGACTTCTTCTACTAATTCCTACTCATTATGCTAATGTTCATTTCAGGAGGCTTTGAGGCAACTGGAAACCTAATTTCATTTTGTACAGATCTTTTTTTTTTCCTAAGAAAGTCACTTCACTGGGAACCATCTCTATATATAAGAGCCTAAGCGACCATAACACGGGAACAACCCCAACCACCAGTGACTATGATGTGCACTGACCACCAGGAGACAGATGCTCAATGTAGGAGCTGCCCCTTGGTGGTCATTGCACTCCTACAGCCAATCTCCCATGGCTGGCCAGCCTCCTCTGGTCCCTCTCCCCATTCAGCAGACCCTGGCTGGCAGCTGGGAAGGCCCCAATCGGCCCTGATCGCTGGCGAGGCCTAGGGACTCCACCTGTGCATGAATTTCGTGCACCAGGCCTCTAGTTTAGTTATAAAAGACTAACTTTTAAGTCAGGATTGAGAAACAACTACCAGTGAGGGGAAAGGCAAGAAAAAGGTCTGGGTGTGTGTGTGAATATACCATTCATAAAGATACAAAGGGCATCTTTAAAGTAGGTAGAATGTAACATATATATTTAAAGAGTGATATTGTCTTGCCTGCAAGTTAAATTAGATCTTTCTCATCTTAAAAATAATAGTTTTATTTCTTAATATTGGACAAAAGAATTATCAGAACTAATAATGCAAAAAATGTAAATTTACTGAATAGATATTTTATTATTTAGAATCAATATATAATTGCATGATATGTTTTCAAAAATATTTGTACTACAAGAACGAGAATCTAAAACTGTGCAAGCTCTTGCCTCCTTTAGACTCCTAATGTAGGAAATGAGTCATGTGAAGGGCTTGGCAGCAATTGGGGCATATAGGAATCAAGCTGAACAGTTAAGACTTTTATTATTATTTTCCATCACAAGTTTTCCTTTCTGTTTATCATTGTGGAAAATCAACTTGTATAATGCAGTTCTAAGACAGTAACTCGAATATTTCAAAACTTTCCTGAATGAAGCATATTTGAAATTAATACTGAAACTGGTATGGATATATTGAATGAATAATTCAAGTATTTTTATTTTAGTTTAAACTTTTTGCTTTTATTGTTCTTACTACTACAGTAAATGGGTTACACATACCCACTCTCCCTAGGAACCCTGCAGTCAGGTGTCCTGGCATTCCAGAAAAGGGGAGGCAAGTGGAGTGAATTGATACAATAATATTATAATTTTTTCATACTTCCCTGTTTCCAGGTTCTTTGGAAGTGCTTTTTGCACCCTAATTCTGGGTTTAGCCCTGCAATCTCCTTTGGTCTACGTAACAGAGATGTTGCAAACAGACTTGAAACGTGCTTATAAATTGGAGCTTGCTCTGTTGATGCTTTTCGAACCCCGTTACCATGTGAACAAGCTCTAACTAGCCTCCTGAACAATTCCAGGTCATCTGGAGAGAAGTCCCCGTGGTCCTTGTGGTCTCATCTGAGGCTGTCATAAACTAACTACCCAGCCATTGCAGCCCTACCTGCTGAATGCAAATAGTTGAATTATTAAAGCTGAGATTAACCAGTTCCAGACAAAACCAAATCAAAACAACTTCACTGCTGAAATAAACCCAAATTCTGACCTACAGATTCATAATCTGAATAAGTGTGTGTGTGTGTGTGTGTGTGTGTGTGTGTGTGTGTGTGTGTGTTTTAAGGCCATTAATGTGGTTTCCTATATGATAGTAGCTAACTGATGCAGGCAGGATGTCAAATTAAAGAGTTCCTCACATAAACCTGATTTTCCGGTTATGATAATGCTAATGATGGTAGTTGAAGGGACAGAACGGAACTTGAAAGAACTAAGCAGAACTAAGCAGAAATGCACCCTCCTCCCTCTTCAAGGACGAAGCAGGGACATACTCTTCTCCCTCTCCTCTATCTTGTCTTGCAAGGCTGGGCCCTCAGCCCAAGCCCCCCCCCCCCCCCGCCCTAGAGTGACCACAAGAATGCTGGTATTGTCCTAACTCTCCCAACCACCCACCTGAGTGGACCAATGAAGCTCCAGAAATGTAGCTAAGGTCCTAATAAGGCTATAGTGGAGGACGGCTCCAACCTTCAGAATGTGATGGTCACTTCCTGACCCTTATGCTGTAAAACCCTGACCAATCTCTGTAACTCACGTCACCCCTAAAGCCCACCCCAAATAGCTAGCCCTATATAACCTTTGTTCTCCTGGGACACGCTCTCTCGCCTCACCGCTGTGCCGGATAGAGGCTGGGAGCCAATTCTAGAATTGATCAATAAAGACTCGTTGCTTTTGCATCGGAGGAGGCTCCCTGGTGGTGGATTATTGGGGACCCCGAGCTCTGGGCATAACATTTTGGGGGCGCGTCCGGGATCCCAAAGAAAAACCCACGAGGGACCCCACTCCGAGAGTCTGCTGTCCGCGGTAAGTGTCTATGTTTTATCTGTTCTGTCTTATGCGAGCTCGCTTCTGTAATCTGGCCTGATAAAGATCTAAGTGGGCGCACTGGCGGGTCTCGGGCAGGAGGAGGCAAGGGACGCCTTGCACCTCCATCTGGCGGGGTGTAAAAGCCCCCATCTGGTTTTTTTTTTCAGTTTTTCTTCCATGGGGTCGGAAGGCTGTTCTTAGGTGTCTTTGTTTGTTTGGTGTCTGTGTTCTTTTGTTTGATTTTGTGGACTCACTGGACGGACGCTATGGGACAGACTCAAACTACTCCTTTAAGCATTATGGTTGATCATTTTAAAGAGGTTAAGGGAAGGGCTAACAACCTCAGTGCAGAAGTGAAGAAGGGTCAGTGGCAGACTTTCTGTTCCAGCGAGTGGCCGGCTCTCAATGCCGGGTGGCCGCCGGAGGGGACGTTCGACCTCCCCACCATTCGCCAGGTCAGGGAAGTCGTATCTCGGCCGAAGGGGGGTCATCCCAATCAACTCCCTTACATTATTACTTGGCAGGACCTCGTGGAGGATCCTCCCTCCTGGCTCAAGCCCTTCCTGGCTCCATGCCCTCCGGAGCCGGCACCCATATTTGCCTTGTAGGATGCAGAAAAGAAGAAGGAGGAGAAAAAAACCACTCTGCCGTCGGCTCCAGCTCCCCTCTACCCAGTTTTGCAGGGGGGTAATGAAGAAGAGTTAATCTTTCCTCCCCCGTATCAGCTTCCCAGGACTCCGGAGAGATTAGATCCTGCCCCGTCGCGGGAAGCTGATGCAGTTCCGGTTCCGGGTGTGGCAGGGAGTGCAGTTCCGGTTCCGGGTGCGGGTGTGGGAGCTCCGGGAATGGCCGTGGTTCCGATGGGAGGTCCGCCCCTCACCCGCCTGAGAGCACAGCGGGAGCTGTCAGTCGCTGCACCCGATTCCACTATCAAGACCCTGCCCTTATGGGCTGCCGGACCCCCAGATGTGGATGGCAATCAACCTTATTTTTATTGGCCTTTCTCAACTAGCGATCTTTACAACTGGAAGGCGCAGAACCCTAAGTTCTCCGAGAAACCGGGGGGGGCTTATTGACTTGCTAGATTCTGTTCTCTTCACCCACCAGCCCACATGGGACGATTGCCAGCAGCTTTTGCAGGTCCTGTTCACAACGGAGGAGAGAGAGAGAATCCTGAATGAAGCCCGGAAGGTGGTTCCCGGCGTAGATGGGAATCCAACTACCAACCAGGCCCAGATAGATGTCTCTTTCCCCTTAACCAGGCCTGAATGGGACTTCAACACGGCAGAAGGTAAGGAGAGGCTCAAAATCTACCGTCAGACTCTGGTGGGGGGTCTTCGTATGGCTGCTAGGAAGCCTACCAATTTGACCAAGGTAGGGAACGTACAACAGGAAAGGGATGAATCTCCAGCTGCCTTTCTAGAATGGATCATGGAGGCGTATCGCACCTATACCCCCATGGATCCAGAAGCTCCTGAAAATAAGGCGGCTGTGGTCATGAGCTTTATAAACCAGTCAGCCACATACATTAGAAAGAAACTGCAGAGGCTAGATAGATTAGGGGAAAAGAGTTTTCGGGACTTGTTGGAGGTGGCTGAAAAGGTGTATAACAACCTAGAATCTCCTGAGGATAGGCAAGCCCATGCCATGGTGGCTGCCAGTGACAAGCAGACCCGAAACCTGGCCAAGATTCTGCTGGCCACCACCACGGAGAACCCTGAGGAGCGGACCCGCCACCTTCGCCAGCTTGCCGATGACCAAGAGGGAGGTAAGGGGACCGCCCGGGGTGGGAAGAAGAAGCTTCAACGGAACCAGTGTGCTTACTGCAAAGAGATAGGACACTGGGCCCGGGAATGCCCAAAGAAGGCCGGTAAAAAAGGAAACAAGACAGATCGGGTGGAGGTCTTGGAGCTGGGAGGACTGAGTGATTAGGGGAGTAGGGGTTCGGACCCCCTCCCCGAGCCCAGGGTAACTCTTAGAGTGGAGGGGACGCCTATTAACTTCCTTGTCGACACTGGGGCACAACATTCGGTCCTACGCACACCTCAAGGGAAGCTAGCCAGCAAGAAGTCCTGGGTGCAAGGGGCAACTGGCATAAGCCAGTATTCATGGACTACCCGAAGAACAGTAGATCTAGGAACAGGCCAGGTATCCCATTCCTTTATGGTAATACCCGAGTGCCCCTACCCCCTATTAGGACGGGACTTGCTGACCAAGATCAGAACCCAAATAACTTTCAGACAAGGGGGCCCCAGGTCACTGATGGCAAAGGCCATCCCATCCAGGTTCTGACTCTGAGACTGGAGGATGAATATCGCCTCCACCAGGGGGCGCCCCCAGGAGAGAACAATATGGACAGATGGCTACAAGAATTCCCCACCGCCTGGGCAGAGACGGGGGGAGTAGGACTGGCCGCTCACAGGGCCCCAACCCTGGTAGAGTTAAAACCAGGGGAAAGTCCGATAAGAGTCAAACAGTATCCAATGCCCCAGGAGGCCCGGAAGGGGATTCAGCCTCATATCCGAAGACTGTGAAGCCTAGGGATACTGGTTCCATGCCAATCTGCCTGGAACACCCCCCTCCTGCCAGTCAGAAAGCCCCACACGAATGACTACCGACCAGTCCAGGACCTCCGAGAAGTAAATAAAAGAGTTATGGATATACACCCAACCGTTCCTAACCCGTACACTCTCCTAAGCTCTTTAACACCCACTAGAGTGTGGTACACTGTATTGGATTTGAAGGATGCTTTTTTCAGCCTTCCGCTCGCGCCTCAAAGCCAACCCCTGTTCACCTTCGAATGGCACGATCCAGAGGGCGGCTACAGTGGACAATTAACCTGGACGCGGTTACCCCAACGGTTCAAGAATTCGCCCACCATCTTTGACGAAGGCACTGCACGAGGATCTTGGTGAGTACAGGAGAGAACACCCCAGTCTCACCCTCCTTCAGTATGTAGATGACATCCTGGTTGCTGCAGACACTGCCGAGGACTGTGAGCAAGGGACCAAAGACTTGTTGACCACCCTAGGGACCTTAGGGTACCGGGCCTCTGCGAAGAAAGCTCAGATATGCCAAGAAAGGGTGAGTTACCTGGGGTACATACTGGAGGGCGGACAGCGGCGGTTGTCGGACGCTAGGAAGGAGACAGTCTTGAAAATCCCTATTCCCACCACCCGGAGGGAAGTGAGGGAATTCCTAGGATCAGCTGGCTATTGCCGCCTCTGGATCCCAAGTTTTGCTGAGATCGCCAGGCCCCTATATGAAGCTACCAAAGAGGGAAAGGCCTTTGAATGGACTGAGACAGAGGAAATTGCCTTTAATCAGATAAAGAGAGCTCTTTTGGCTGCTCCAGCCCTCGGCCTGCCAGACATTACAAAACCCTTCCGCCTCTTTGTAGACGAGCGCAAGGGAATAGCAAAAGGGGTTTTAACTCAGGCTTTAGGCCCCTGGAGCCGCCTGGTAGCGTATTTGTCCAAAAAGCTGGACCCCGTAGCCGCCGGCTGGCCACCGTGCCTAAGAATCATTGCAGCAACCGCGCTCTTAGTCAAGGATGCCGACAAATTGACCCTGGGACAGGAAATCTGGATAACAACCCCGCATGCCATTGAGGGAGTCCTAAAACAGCCTCCTGACCGATGGATGAGCAATGCACGCATGACCCACTATCAGAGCTTATTGCTCAACCCTCCTAGAGTGCGGTTCCATCCCAGCGCGGCTCTCAACCCCGCTACCCTCTGCCTGACCCCGACCTAGATGCCCCGCTGCACGACTGTGCGGGGATCCTGGAGCAGGTACATGGACTTCGGAAGGATTTGACCGACCGGCCCCTCCCTGATGCAGAGGCCATCTGGTTCACAGATGGAAGCAGCTTCGTGCGGGACGGATGCAGGTACGCGGTGCAGCGGTGGTCACCGACACAGACACTGTGTGGGCAGAAGCACTGCCCCCTGGGACATCAGCCCAGCGAGCAGAACTCATTGCTCTCACCAAGGCACTGACACTGGGGGCGGGGAAGCGGCTCAACATTTACACAGACAGCCGTTATGCATTTGCTACGGCTCATGTTCACGGGGCGATTTACCAGGAAAGAGGGCTGTTGACAGCAGAAGGACGAACAGTGAAAAACAAACAGGAGATTCTCGACCTGCCTGCGGCCCTATGGCTTCCCACGAAGCTAGCCATTATCCACTGTCAAGGGCACCAGAAGGCAGATGACCCAGTAGCAAAAGGTAACCAAAAGGCTGATCAGGCAGCCAAGGCAGCGGCCTTCACCTCGGTCCCTGCAATGGCCATACAACTACCAGACCCCAGGGACCCAGTTCTACCAGATCAGCCTAAATACTCTCAGGAAGAGCTGCAGCAGATCAGAAAACTCCCCCTCGCTAAGGAAGTGAAAGGATGGTGGTACACCTCAGATGGGAAACTCATACTACCGGACTGGCTTGGGGTCACAGTATTAGAACGCATGCATCGGTCCACCCACTTGGGAGCCCGGAAGTTAAAGGACTTAATTCAGCATGCCAAAATCAAGATCCACCAACAAGACTCCAAAATCAATCAAATTATAACCTCCTGTAAGACCTGCCAACTCACAAATGCAAGAGCTGGGTCAGGTGGACAAGGAACCAGGCTCAGAGGCACCAAACCAGGAGCACACTGGGAGGTTGATTTCACTGAAGTCAAACCAGGGAAGTATGGTTATAAATATCTTTTAGTGTTCATAGATACCTTTTCTGGCTGGGTAGAGGCATACCCAACTAAGCATGAGACGGCCCAGACGGTGGCCAAGAAGCTGCTGGAAGACATCTTACCCAGGTATGGTTTTCCTGCTATGATAGGCTCCGACAACGGGCCAGCCTTTATTTCGCAGGTAACACAGGCAGTAGCCAAAGTCATAGGGGCGGATTGGAAATTGCATTGTGCTTACAGGCCCCAGAGTTCAGGGCAGGTAGAAAGAATGAATAGAACTCTAAAAGAGACCCTTACCAAATTAACCATGGAGACTGGCGGGGATTGGATGGCTCTCCTTCCATATGCCCTTTACCGGGTGAGGAACTCTCCTTACACCCTGGGACTCACCCCTTACGAGATCATGTTTGGTAGGCCCCCTCCTATCATCCCTAATCTAAAAGCTGAACTCCTTATTGAGTTTGAAAATCAGGAGATATCTTCTTTCCTAAGAGAATTGCAGAGGGCACATGAGGACATTTGGCCGCGCCTCCGCGCCATCTACGAGGCTGGCCCCACCCCGACGCCTCATCAGTACAAGCCAGGTGACTGGGTGTTCATCAGAAGACACCGCCGGGAGACCCTCGAACCACGCTGGAAAGGCCCCTACATCGTCGTGCTGACTACACCCACCGCTCTCAAGGTAGACGGCATCGCGACTTGGGTCCATCACTCCCACGTTCGCCCAGCTGACTCCTCTGCAATCCAGGAAGACTTCATCACACAATGGAGCATCGACCAAGACCAGCGCAACCCGCTCAAGCTCAAGCTGTGGCGCACTCGACCTACCTGATGTTGGTAACTTTACTCGTGAACACTCCTGCCACTGGGAGCCCACACACTCCTTATAATATCACCTGGCAGATCATAGACACTAACTCAGGGGTGATCCTTAATCAGACTTCTCAAATCCATCCCAAAGACACCTGGTTCCCTGAACTGCGAGTAGACCTCCTAACTCTCCTTCCCAGCCCACTCGACACCAGCGATTACTGCCTGGGTGCGGCAATACGCCAGGCTTTTGAAGACTCAAAACCAAGGAGAACCCTCTATTTTTATGTCTGCCCCGGACACTCGCAAGCTCGGTCCCGGGGAAATGACCCTTGTGGAAGTGCTGGAGACTACTTCTGTGCTTCCTGGTCATGTGTGTCAACTGGACACATCTGGTGGAAGGCCCCCAAGAAGGGTGACCTAATCACCGTTGGGCGACCGGCTGCTCCACCGTGTCCCCAGAGTGGCCGTATCTACTGCAACCCCGTGAGCATTTCCTTCACAAAAGAGGGGAGAAAGGCTACAGAATGGGACACCGGAAAGACTTGGGGATTCCGAATCTATTCTTGCAGGGGGGCTTTGCGTAGGGCGGACCCTGGGATGTTGTTCACCCTCCGGGTTCAAAATACCCCCCTTCACTATCATTCCCCTGTGGGAATGGGGCCCAACAAAGTACTAGCTCCTCAACCTCAGCTGACCACTCCCCGGGTATCTACAACTGAAGGAGCATGGGCCCTGGCATCACTGCCTAACACCCTACTCGCACCTACCACGAAGAACCTGACTCTGAGTCATACCCCCCCGCCTGAAGTAGACCCACTTATAAGCATGGTTATAGGAGCTTATTATGTTTTTAACGCCTCCAGGCCTGACCTGACCAAATCTTGCTGGCTCTGTTTAGACGTTGAGCCACCGTATTATGAGGGTATCGCGGTTAAGGGTAACTATACAACCACCACGATTGTCAGCTCCTGCAGGTGGCAGCAAACTGTTGCAAGGCTAACCCTCCAGGCAGTAATGGGGCAGGGGGCCTGCGTAGGCAACGTACCCCCTGAGCAGTTGCATCTCTGCAACGAAACTCTGACTATCCCTGAAGAGGCAGTATACCTTTTGCCTCCCAAGAATGCATGGTGGGCCTGCTCCAGTGGCCTCGCTCCTTGTGTCCACTCCCTGGTCCTTAATTCCCAGAAGGAGGGCATTTGCGTGCTCGTGCAGTTAATTCCCAAGTTAATATACCATTCAGAGAAAGAGGTCCTTAACAAATTCGGCGCTGCCAACCCCCGAAATAAAAGAGAGCCCATCACAGCCTTAACTATGGCCGCCCTCTTGGGATTGGGACTAGCGGGAGCAGGGACTGGAATATCCTCACTTGTCATACAAGACAAGAATTATGGAGCCCTAAGAGCAGCCATTGACCTAGACATAGAAAGAATTGAAAAATCTATTACCCATTTACAGGATTCTCTCACCTCCTTATCTGAGGTAGTGCTCCAAAACAGAAGAGGACTAGACTTGCTATTCCTGCAGCAGGGGGGCTTATGTGCAGCTTTGGGAGAGGAATGTTGTTTTTATGTTGACCACTCAGGTGTTGTTAAAGAGTCTATGGCCCTCATAAGGGAAGGATTGCAGAAGCAGAAGTTGGAAAAAGAGTGGTCTCAGTCTTGGTATGAATCCCTGTTTAATTGGTCCCCATGGTTACCCACTCTCATTTCTGCCCTCGTCGGGCCCCTTGTAATCCTCCTAATGTTGCTAACTTTTGGCCCCTGCATTATTAACAAGCTAGTTCAATTTGTCAAGGAACGCATAGGGGTAGTTCAATTAATGGTCTTACAAGCTCAATACCGGCCTCTAGCGATGGAGGGAGAGGTAGAAATGCAGTCCATCTCATGATTGAGCCGTGAGTTCCAAGACAAGGGGGGAATGAAGGGACAGAACGGAACTTGAAAGAACTAAGCAGAACTAAGCAGAAATGCACCCTCCTCCCTCTTCAAGGACGAAGCAGGGACATACTCTTCTCCCTCTCCTCTATCTT